AGCCCAGGAGGTCAGATCCCAGAAGGCTTCACCTGGCCCAGCACAGGCCACAGGCTCACCCCTAGTCTGCGTTCCTGCAACACAGGGCCCCCAGTCACACTTCCTGGGAGAGCCAGCCGGGCACAGACCTTGGCTCTGACCCTGGAACTTAGCCTCAGGGTCTGAGAGCTGGACAGCTCATCTCCACTGGGCCTCCTCCTCAAGCCTGGAAAACGCTCAAACTTCAGGGCAATCGTAGCATATCTGTGGTGTCATCATCCCTCCAGACACTACTCTCCTGACCCCCACCTTCTGGCCCAAAGAGAAGAAAGCTGTCTCTGCTCTTACACGTTTAAATATTTCTGATTCTGACTCTGGAATTTTACTACCGAGAGACTGTCATCACGGGGGCAGGTTCACTGCTGCTTCTCCGTAGACGGGGCTGGAGCACTGCTTCCCGGACTGCGAGCGCTGGGCGGATATGCGGGTCGACGGGGGGTGGGAGAACCGAGCTTGAAGGAAGACACTGAGAGTGGGCACCGAATTCAGGGGTGAGGACACTGAAGTCGGCTCTGTCAGCCCCCAGAGTCCCTTCTGCTTCCGTAGGCAACGGAATGTGTAAGCTCGGACCGGATACTGAGCAACCACAGCCGATCCTCACCCCGCGCTGACGGTGGACCGGGCGCCATTGCAAGCACCTGACGTGCAGCAAACCTCCACAAGCAAACCACAAGCCAGTGCTGTTATCAGTCCTCACCGGACAGGTGAGGAAACCGAGGCACAGAGAGGTTCAGGAACCCGCTCTAGACCACACAGGCGGTAAGCAGATCGAGCCAGATTCAAACGCAGGGAAACTGGGTCCGGAGGCCATGCTCTTAACCATGAACCCTAACTACGTTAGCACGCTTTTCTGCACTAATTTTTTACATACATGCTGACCCTTTTATCAAACTAGAAATGGGAAAATTGAAGATGAATTAAAAGATCCACTGGGAAGGTGCCCTGTTTTAAAGAATTCACTGTCTCTGTTTTTGTTCTGTTTCAGGAACCCTGGCAGGTAGGGGGAGCCCAGGGGAAGCAGGCAGGCTGGGAGCTGGGCCAGGATTAGGGTGAAGTGAGAGGTCCTCGGGTTATTTTTTCATCATGTATTTTGCATGTTGATTTTGACTTTTCAAATATTGCATTAAAATATGTGTCTTGGTTACTGAGTGTTTTGGTGTCCCCTTAAATTCTGCACCAGAAGTGAGGGCCTGACTCCCCCGTCCCAGTTCCAGCCCTGCTGGTGCCCCCCATCCAAGACTCACTCAGCTGGGTCGGAGGCCCTGTCCACCCTTCCATCTTCAGACCCTCATCCTGCATCCTCCCTGTTGCACTCCTCAAGGCAGTCACGGCAAGGAGACTGTCGGTCGGTTGAGGAGGGAGAAGGGGTCAGGAGTGAGGCTCCCAGGCGGGTCTGAGCATTGGCACCTGTGACGCCACCCACAGTCCCTTTCCCACCACCTCCTTCCACCCGCTCCTAACATGCAGTGGCTTCCGGGGCCCTGGCTTCCCTTCTCTTAGTTCTTCCCTCCTACGTTGCAGAGGAAATCTCATCTACACCTGGGCTTCCACGTCTTATTATAATGGATAACCTCCACATTGACGCACTTGCCTCTGCCTGGGAATCCCACACTCAACGTGTTAGCGTTCTATTTGCTGCTGTAACAGATTGCCACCCGCTTAGGGGCTGAAAACAGCAGATGCATTAGCTCACAGAAGTTCAGCACGACCTCACAAGGCTAAAGGCAAGGTGTCAGCAGGGCTATGTTTCCTCATGGAGGCTCTGGGGGTGGGGCTGGGATTTCTTACATGTTACTATTGTACTATCACATGTTACTGTCCCCCCTTATATATTCACTTATCTGTCTCCATTAAGAGACCAGGAGCCTATGGAGGAGATTAAAGGCCATGTTGAAAGAGCTGTATCATGTTCATTTTCCTCCCTTACCACCTACCACGGCATCTAGTGTTCAGCAAATAGCCAATAAGTGAGTGGATCACTGGATACATGGATGGGTAGGTGGCAGGATGAAGGACGGCCTACAGACATGAGCAAAGCAAGAGGAGGGTATAGCTCAAGCGGTAGAGCGTGTGCTTAGCATGAACAAGGTCCTGGGCTCAATCCCCAGTCCAGTCCCTCCATTAAAAAATTTAAAAATAAACCCAATTACCTCCCCACCAAAAAACAAACAAACAAAGAGGAAAGAACTAGAAATGGGCAAAGCAAGTCCTCTGGCAACCCACGGACTTGGGGGAGCTTCTTAGAAGCTGTGAGCCATTTCTTTCTCACCTTTGACCTGGCAATCTTTTGCTCCAGACACAAGCCTGGTCTTATACACATCCATGCACGTGATGGTGCCCTGGTGGCCACTGAAGATTCGTATGCAAGCCCCACTTTTCAGATCCCAGTATCTGCAGGAATCAAGCCAAAAAAAAAAAAAAAGCTTTTGAGACTCTCTGAGGACCATCCTGTCTAGGGCTCCTTTAGATCAGCAGGTGGCTGGAAGGCGGCAGTTTCATGAGTCCAAGGCCTGGATCTGATTCCCGGTTGCAGCACCTAGTAGGTGTGACTTTGGGCAAGTTGCTTCATTTCCAGGTACGCTTCATTTCCTCACTGATAAAATGGAAACGAAATAATAGCAGTCACCTCACAGGGGTTTTGTGCAGGAGTAAATACACGAATGCAGTGACTGTCAGCCGGGGTGATTTCCATGCCCAGGGGACCTCTGACAATGTCTGGCGACATTTCTGGTGGGCACAAGTCGGGGGGGAGGTGCCACTGGCATGGAGCGCGTAGGGTCCGAGGATGCTGCTGAACACCCTCCGGTGCACAGGCCCGCCCCCGCGGGAAGAAGTCTCCTCTTTTTGGTGGGGGGGTCATTAGGCCTATCTGTTTATTTATTGTTAGTGTTTTTTTTTAATGGAGGTGGGAAAGCAAAATGGTACTACAGCCACGTGGGAGGACAGTTGGTGATTTCCCACAAAACTAGAAAAAAACCTGCAAACAGATGTTTATAGTAGCTTTACTGCTAAAACTTAGAAGCAACTAAGATGTCCTTCGTC